CACTGCTAAATTAGGGACGGCTAACGCAGATAGCCCTCGTGTAGCTTTGCGCGAAATTCAAAAACAAACAAACAATTCTTCCTCTGGAAATCAATGCGACCAAGCAATGCTGTATATTCGCCAAACAGTTTTGCTAGATCAAGGTTTATTGGCTTTATTGGTTTTAGACATTCACCTACACTCAAAAATAACACTGACTGCAAAACACAAACATTTTCTGGCAAGCATTGACGTAATCGTTTCATGAGTTCGACAAGAAACTATATATATTACCAAGAATGCTACTGTCTACTCCATCTGAAAATTTACATCCTGGCACTTATTTTCATTTCATAGCCCTAGTAAGGCTTTGGGTTCAAGTGATTTTCAATTACAGTATTTTCAGTAATTTTTCTTCTTGGAATAACGATTCTTGAACACAGTAAATTAATCAAATGAACTAAATCATTTAGCAACTTATTGGGATATTGCACTTAGCTTCAGATTTATTATTCACAATTTCAACATCTATAAAACTAAGTTTTAGAAATAAAAAAATTTAATTTGTCTTATCACAAAACATTGAATATGGGAGTTCTACATCATAGCGTCACCCATTTATTCTAGCAATTTTAAAATGAATGTTAAGTTCAATCCACTGCTATGACATTTTCATAATGACAGTTTCAATTGAAATCCATCGTGTTTCACTTAACTGCACTAATTTCAAGGGAGTCAATCCATCATTTATTAAAGTGCAAAGCTCCGTGTATCTTGCTTGTCGAAAAAGAAGAATGGAATAACCAGTTGTATATTTATTTAATCAAAAAACATAGGTTCCGTAGCTGGCATTTACTAGCAACATGAGACACTGCAAGTTTCAGGAAGTGACACACGCATTTATTCAGAATCATGTGAGGAACCTCAGCCTTTAACTTTTCATAGACTCCATTATTAACATCAGTCATTACTAATACATTATCATTCCCAAGTGCAATAAGTATTTGCAAATCTAACTCGTTATTTCTCTGGAACGTTTTCCAAGCATCACATATTGTATTTGCATTGCATTCACCGAGTTCAATCATATCTAAAAAAGTTACCGCAACTTGCTTTTTAGTATCAGAATAGTATCTAATCATTATACCCAAGAACTTCGTAAAGGAAATGTCATTACTCTAATCAATTACCAAGCTGTAATTTCTCTTTCCAAAATCAGCTTTTCAATATTCAATAAGACATGGTGCTAACACATTTCAAACTATTGCACCACATTTTGATCTTCGAAGTTTAAGGTCCCTAAATCCCTTGCTATCAACAAAGCAAGCTTTACAAAGATCACTTAAACGATCCATTATTCTTAATGTACAGTGCTGCTATAAAAGGCGCTACATTTTCTTCTCTCTTTTTTGGAATCATCATTGAATTTGTTGTTTTTTGTTGCTGTTTTTTAATTGGTGAATACTTTGTCGCTGAGCACTGAATAGCTCTTCTGCTTTCTTGTGTTTGATGGTGTTGCGATGTTTTTCAATATAATTCAACTTGACTGTCAGTGTGCACCTACAAAACTTGCAAAAGCACTTCATATCATCTCCATCAAAACAGCTAAGCCAGCTTTTATATCTAGAGTCGCTGAGTCAATCAGCACGAAAGAGCTGATTATATTTCTTGATGATTTTTACAATCAAAACCCGAAAATCGGAACCCTTAATCATAATTCGTAGTTTCTTCTAAAGTAAAATAAATTTCTCTGCTATTTCTTACCATGTATAACAGCCTCTTGTTTAAGAGAAGTATGACGTGCCCGACAACGGTGTTTATTTATCTTGCCGTGTGGTTTCTTTTGTCTGTCAAATGATATTTCAACTTACAGTATTTGTTTGTTTGTTTGTTTTTAATTATGCACAAAGCTACACAAGGGCTATCTGTGCTCTGCCCACCACGGGTATCGAAACCCGGTTTCT